AAAATGGCCATTTTGAGACAGTTCAAAGGATTGACAACAGGAACCTAATCAATGAAGCCATAGTTTCTGGTTTTGCTTGAATGAGATAAAAAAGAGTGGGGAACAAAGGGATGATAACAGTACAAAGCCATTGTTTCTTCCTTAAGTTACTACAGACAGAATTGCCTATATGCCTTGGTCATTAATGATGAAATAATGATTTCCGGTAAAATTCTTGCCACGCTCCTCCCTTCCACTTTCTGGTTGCCTTTGTTTTTAGCGTAAGCTCCTAGAACTAGTCTGTGAAAAAGTCACAAAAGTTAGAGCATCTGTGAGCTACTGGTATAAAACGCGAGTTCTGTTTTGTGTCAACTAACCAGCAGGCACGAATTGGAAAAACCAGCAGGTACGAAAAATGGTTAGTTTTTCACCATTTTCCTCTTGATGTGGAGAAAAGGTGACAGTAGTGGATCATAGCTATACAGGGTATTCATAGCTATATGAATATATACATAGCTATATAATATAAAGACAGAACTGTCTCATAGCTAAGTTTACTTAGCTATAAGCTCACGCTTGCATTTGTAATCGGCATTTCTAACCTGAGGATATTCAAGAGTCAGCATCAGAAATGAGAAGACGGAGGTTACAAAAGGGAAATGTACATTTATCCCCTTTTACTGCCAAGACGAGAGAGGAAAGACCACCTCCACACAACAGCTAGGAGGAAGCTAACACAGCAGCCGGTACAGGTAGGGGTGTGTGTGTGTGTGTGTGTGTGCGAGCACGCGCGTTTGTGTTATACATTAGAGTATGAAATGTTTTTAGGCAACTTTGTCATGAGTTTTATGCAAAAGTAAAAATTTGTAAGAGTGTAAAAACTTGTGAGTGCTGCTTGTTTACAGCGTAAACAAAACACGAGCGACGAGCGCCCCMSCTCCCGCCGAGTACAGAGAGCCGCAGAACCTCCGCCTGATAATCATTACCTTTTCAGTTCACCTACGTCGGGGAAAACGATCCAAACCATACAAGTAGCCCATCAATTTAAAGCCCAGACTCTGCTCTTTCCAACAATATAAGTGTCACAGCTCTACGTGAAAAATTCACCGAACAAGCAGCCAAGGAATAGYGAAAAAGGCTAAATTCTGGAACCATAAACACAAATGTCTTTACTTTGTTTTTATGGCTTTAATCCACTCTGGAGTGATTTTTTYCCACTTGGCTGGACCTGTACGTCTCCTGTGTTAATGTTGGTACATGTAATATGATAATTATGTACTGTGAAGATCATTAAGAGTCGTTGTCGGGTGAAAAAATCTTTTGCTAACACTGTGTTGACCACGAACCGGAAGTGATCGGAGTGGCACCAAGTGCTGGACCGGATGTCCATGGCAGATAGGCTATTAAAGGGGTTGGGAAATTCCACTAGAGTCAAGCCTTAGTTAAAGGCAGAATCGTGCTACAGACCGATATACTAAACAAGATCAGAATATGTTGGATTATTAATCTTGTTAATCTGAATGTTTTTTTTTTTTACTTCAAGAAGTCTTACCA